AGGTCCATCGAGTTCTGGGCTTTGGGCAGCGTCTCTGCCGGCTGGCATCAGTAGGGCTGGTCACGGGAGCGACTGCCGTCCCTGCGGGACGCACCCGTGTCAGGTGGGGAGGGGGCCGTGAAGCGGGGGCTCCGAAAAGGCGGAGGTGGCCTGGGGCGGCCTGGGTGGGCAGGAAGGGCTTGAGGAAGCACCCGGTCACCCCCACGGCTGCGCACAGCCGGGCCCAGGGCAGCTGAGGAAACGGGCTGAGGCGGATGCACCTGTTAAGAGAGCGCAGAGCAAGCGGGGCTGGGTCATCTGACGGAGGAGATCCGATACCCCCAGGGCGCCGCCGCTCCGGCTGCTTGAGGCCCCCCAGGCTCCCAGCAGCCCTGGGGGGATGGCCCACAAGGTTCCCCAAGCCTGAGGTTTCCGTCTACCCTGTTGGCCCCCCGCCAGCTTTCCCTGCTTGCCTGGATGGCTCTTGTGTTCCGGGGCACGATGGGGGGCGTCCGCCGAAACAAGCTCTGGTGTGCACCCACAGCCTGGGCCAGGGGTCAGCCGGCTGCTGGCCCCCTGCTCACACGGACCCAGCCACCAGCCTGCAGACTGGGGCGCCATTCGTGACTCCGCCATCCCCTCGTGCAGCCAGACCCAAACTCCTGTCCCCTTGTATCTGTCACCAGTGCCAAGACCACCTCCCTGGTCTTCCCACCTGCCCCTTCAATCTGTTTCCCAATGTCCCAAGATCGGGTCACTGCCCTACTCAGAAACCTTCTATGGCTCCCTGCTGCCCTCCCCTTGAGCCCAGACTCCTCAAAGGGCTGTTTGCTACAACACAGCTGGTTTTCACCACAGCCCTCCTGCCACCCTTCCTCCGGACTCCTACTCATCCTGCCCACATACAGCTCGGCCTCTGCCTCCTCCGGGAAGTCTGCCCTGATCCCTCCTTCCCACCCCTGGGCTGAGTCTGGGCCTCGTGACCGCCCTGTGGGTGTCCCATCATGGCACTTACCGCTTCGGGGCCGCGTCTCCCCAGCTCAGCATCTCATGTGCTTGGGACCAGCCTGGGCACCGTAGGTGTCGAGCAGCACCCCCCCCCCCC